ATAACAAATTCAAACGTAATTAAAAAGAATATTATTTTTAAGATTTTTTCTAAATGTTTAGCATTACAATTATATAATTAAATAGTTTTTCGAGTAATGTAATTTGTTCATAAACACAATGTAACAAATATTGAAAAAAAATCAGAAATTAGAAAAATAGAATTAAAGGTTCTGCATTCTTATTAATATCATAATAACTAACTGATTTAATGAATAATTATTCTTATCGTCTAATTGTTCATAGATAACATCATAGAACGAATACACTTAACAAAATAACTAATTCGAACTAAATTAAAAGGATATAATCTTAATGGTTCTTCTTAAACACGATTAGTATAATAATTATATAATTATTCCAGTATAGAGTAGTTTGTTCATAAACACAACATAACGAATATTGAAAAAAAAAAAAGAAATAAGAAATTAGAAGAACAGCATTATAATTTTTACATAATTATTAATATCATAATAACTAATTGATTACATGAATTCGTGTCGTCTAATTGTTCATAGATAACATCACAACGAGTATCGAAAAAAAAATGAAAAAAGAAAAATAAATCAAAAGACACCGAAACCAAAAAGAAATATCGTTATAAAGATTTTTCATATATATATATATTAATATAATAATAATTAATTAATTACATAAACTAATTATTTTTATCGTCTAATTGTTCATAGATAACATCACAACGAATATCGAAGAAAATTAAATCAAAAGACACCGAAACCAAAAAAAGAATATCGTTATAAAGATTTTCCATAATTATTAATATAATATAATAAACAATTAATTATATAAACAATACTAGAAACGTGTCAATTTCACACACTTATCTAGAGACACGTGTTATACACGCATACACATGTCTCATGTATGTTTAATTATTTTGTTCTCAACAAAAAGATAGCAAGAGAATGAAAAAGATAGAAATAATAAAAAAATAATAATAAGAATAATAAAAAAAAATGGCGGGGTGCAAAAGTTGCACGCTTTTGCCGCTGTCTTTTAACGCATGTCAAAATTGGCGCTGATTGGAATCAATTTATCCGACGTGTGCACTGATTGGACGAACTAATGCCGGAAGCGGAGCTCCCATTGGTCGAATTAAAACAATCCCGAAAAAAGACACAAACGAAACCTAACCTCTCTTTCTTTCATTCTTTCTTTCTATTTTCTCTTTCAAATCCATAAATGGGGGATGAAGAACTCGAGCCCTGTATATATATCTTGTTTGTCCTTTTCTTTCTTTCTTTTATCATATTGCAAAGAGAAACATGAAAAATAATAAATAAATATATAATCAACGAACAAAAAAAAAAGAGAAATAGAAGAAACGAACTTATAAACGGTTTACTACTTATCTAGGAACCGTAACCGTGTCGTTGTTGTATTGTGTTGTTGTTCGATATTTGATACTGAAATAGTTTTTACTATATTACTATCATAATTTATACATTATCTCACTCTTACTCTCTCTTTATTTCGTATGCATTGTACATATGTGTGTATTCATGTATTTTTATCTCTTTCTTTTTCTTTTTATGGATAAGTGTATACAAGATTTGTATCTTTCTCTCTCTATTTGTATATATATATATAATATATACATACATGTGTATATAAGTATTATATTTTCTTTTTATATGATAATATATGTGTATACAAGTATATTTGTATCTCTCTCTCTCTCTCTCTCTCTCTATTGGTATATATGTAACACAAGAAGTATATATCTATGCATAATATATCCCCACCACTCCGGTGCTATTTCCCGCCCCCACCCCCCACCACTCGTTACTCCCACTTCTCTCTAATCCTCCTACTACTCGGCTAATCGCACAACCAACCACCACTCTAAGCCACCACCTTTTTTCCCCCACCCTCTCTCCATCACTATCTCTCTCACACACACACACACACACTCTACACTTCTACTTCTACACTTTTATTTTCTTTTCTTTACACACACATACACACATACAATACTCAGGAACGTATCTATCTCCCAATAGCCTTTACTACTTTTTTTTTCTTATTTTCTATTCTTTTTTTTTTTTGTTGCTTATTCACCGTGCTTCAACTTTTCCCCACTTCTCCCCTCTTAGAACTTTGCATTTGTTTCTCGCTTGCTCTTCCATTGCTCATTTCCCTTACCCCCCTCCACCCCCAGCAGCAAACCCCTTTCTATCGCTATATCTATCTTTCTTTCTCTTTCTTTCTTTCTTTCTTTCTTTCGTTTTATTCGTATCTAATACGGTCGAACGAACACGAGTGATCGGATATACGATTCCGTCGACGCGAATCAGCTTCCGCGTTCGCGAGAAGGTGGACACATTACCTTTCTCTCATTCTCTCTTTCTCACTCTTTCTTTCTCTTTCTCTTTCTCTTTCTGTTTCTGTTTCTCTTTCTATCTTATATCAGTGTTTTACTCTCTCTTTTTCACTCTCTATTTCAATCTCTTACTGTCTCACTCTCTCTTTCTATTCTTTTTGTTTTTCTTTTTATATTTTCTTCTCTTTTATCTCTCTTTACGATTTATTATTATTATTTAAATACGCATATTTATGTAGTTGTTTTTTCCTACTTCTTTCTTTTTTTTTTTTTTTATATTCTTAAATGTACCACGCGTGTTCAAATGATACACGCCTTTTTGTAATATGTAAAGAGTAAAAAAAAGATTGTCTACGTTATTAATTTCTGTATAAATGAAAATATTTGTTATTCGCTATATATAACTATAACAATTGGGTAAAATTTTTATTTTATATTAAGATGTATTGTTATATGGTTTGTTTATATGTGAAAATAAAATGTGTTGCGATGGAAATGCGTGAACATTGAAAATTGTCTATATTAGTATTTTATATTACAATTTTTCTTGTTTTATATATAAAAATTTGTTGTTTTATAT